AAAGACTAAATTTTAAATTTTAATTAATGGTAATAAAAGCTCCCCTTTCAATCTCATATATATAGCTCTATGTCTTGCTTTCAACAACAAACGTGTATTACTATGCTTTTATTCGCACTTGAAAGATATTTCATCAAAAGATATTTTTATCGCTGAAACATCAGAGATAGAATATTTGTATTATAAAAATTGTATTATTCAGCAAAATCAGAACATTGATCTAGAAGTTGTCAATACATAAGGTAGTGATAATAAGCAAAAATTAATTACATATTTTACACGCTATTTCTAAATGCAAATATGTCAATACGTCATTGTCAAGATGTAGTAAAAAATCTTACAGAATATTTACAAAAAAGATGTACAGCTATTATAATTGGCCTTTAAGATTTTAAATATTATTCATATTTAAACGTTGCACTCGTTGGCCTGTAGATATACGAGCTTGTCTCTTCATTTGAATAATCCGGGATTCCGTATGGGATATCAAAATTCTGAAAATGTGAAAGAAAAAATTATGAAGATATTTTACAACCGCATTTTGTTAATCGTATGGCTTATCAATGCACACATACATGTAGAAAAGCAAAAAAGAAATTGTTTGTCGACCATTCTAATCCAAAATGAGAGATCGACAAAAATTTCCAATTATATTTATATTTTAATCATCATATATAGATATCCATATAGAAAATTAGAGCATGTTATATGTATGTAGGTAAATATTATTTTATAAATTACATGTTGGAAAATTACAAAATATAAATCAAAATGCTACAGCTTCAACTACGACTTACGTATCTTTTATGCATGGCCAAGCAAAATGTGCAAACTTGCGGTCTTGTCGAGTAAACGCCGCTACTCTCCAAGAGACGTGAACAGGGTTGATCTATAGCACCCGCGACAAGCATGGCGTCCAAATGGCTAATATAACTGCTGGCCAACCTCAGAGTCTCTATTTTCGACAGCTTCCGGTCGGCCGGTTCGGTCGGGATCAGAGTCCTCAAGGCGCTGAAAGCTGTGTTCACGCTGCACAACGAAGATCGCGTTCCTTCAAATTGTGTACCCGTTGTCGTTCTATCAGTATCAAGTCTATCAAGTCTCATTTTGTTATAAACGAAAGAGATCTCCTTTCCAGGAAAATAAATATACGATTCGTCCAAGAGAAATCATGCGAATAAAAATCGCGCGCTCATCTTCTGAAATCTTTTGTCTACCTCGCGCAACGAGAAACACGCCTCACACTCCTCAGTTATTCGTTTGTTATCATACGATGAGTTTACGTGCGCGATCGTTCGCGTTCTCCCCGAGGCGAACGCGAAATATATGAATTTCGATGGGACAAAATGGGGCATGCTTTTTCACCTATGCGTGCGATCTCTCTCTCGAGCGTTCGCCTGATACCGCTGCTTCGTTGGCTCCTCTTTCCCGCGCGCTGCCATGTTGTGGACACGACTGCAATGGACACGACGTAATAACGTCCTCGCTGACCGTACACGACAACGCTATCTTCATCAATGAGCGACCGTCGGCAGGTCTCTTTCCGTTTCTCCGGAATATGAAATTTCCTCATCTCTGTTGTCACGCACATTTAACATCTCTCCCCGTTGCCACTCTCTCCTACTCTCTCCTCCCTCGTGTTCTTTCTTTCCCTCAGTTTCCCGACACGCACGTGAGCCGCAGATGTGTGCGCGATCAGGGACGGATCTTCTTTTCCTCTCTTTTTATCTCTTTCCTCTTGTTTTCCCGGTCTCTCTAACCGCGGATACGCTAGAATTGCGGCGAAGAAAATAAAGGATGTAGAATTATAAATTATAAGTTTTTTACATTTACAAGTGTTATATATATCTTAAAAGATAATAATTTGTTCGCCGCATTGAACTTTTCGAGAACGACAAGGTGAACGTTGATGTTGTAATCATCGGATCTTTGTTACACATCTGATCGCCTCTCATATGCAGAAATTAGATGCAGTATTTATAATGAAATATATACATTGCGATAGGAGCGCTAGAATCCACGCAATACGCAATACTCAACTTCGTCCCTGCCTCCCACACTCACGCACCAAGTGATGCATTCCATGTAAAGTGGACAGCGGCTGCGTTTCGCATTAAGCTCAATAAAAATGTAGACGTGCGTGGCAACGTGGGTATTACAAATCGGGCAAAGGTGATGAGAATAAATTCCATCTGTAAAACTAATTATAGCATCTCGTTACAGCTTTCATCCGCTTGTGACTTCCCGTGTTTTCTCGCGTTTTTATAATCATGCCATTAAAGAATTTACACGTCTTCGACATTCGTTGATCGAGCCTCGCTGCTATATCTTAGATATTATAGCTATACACAATTTTATCTAATGTGCGAAAAAATAATAACTGGAAAGTAACATGTTGAGCCACACATTCGAGCTTTGTATGAAATGTTTACTCAATTAAATAACTTGGTTACATCGAATCAATTACACAGCATAAAATTTACATATGTATTTCTCAATGGTCGTCGATCCATAAGATCATACTGCAGCGTTCGATATTGTCGAAAAAATGTCACGCAAGATTAGCTAATGTAAGACAAAAATGTGAATCGAGCTTTCAAGATCGATTTGATCATTGTTGTCGATGAGTCGCATACTATTTTACCGAAAACCTGCGGTGTCCAAAAAAATAATATCTTAAGGAATACAAATAAAAAATATACACAAAATTGTTTTATATATTAATAAAATAATAATAAAACTTACATATACTTTACACGACTATACAGACAATCGAGTAGATCGACATGGAAGGATCGTCGTGTGGGCTTTAAAAAAGAAATGAAAAAATTTAAAATATGATTTTGCGACAGGTTTACATCAGTAAACGCAGACACAGTCACTTTTCATTCTACTTATACGCATTACAACATGGCATAATATAAGATTAATTAAAACGATGTAAAAGTTTTGGTGTGTAAAAAGATGTATAAACAAAAACGTTCCACTCGCTCCACTTCGCTTTCCCTATCTCTTTTTCTCGCTTTTGAGCACACATGACAACACATTTATTACTTATAAACAAATTATATGTATGTAGGACATTTAAAGTATTACAATCTCCAACGTACACATTAGAGTAACACAAATATTTTAAATAAAGGTTGTTTGAACAAGAGGAAAAAAGATAGGCATTTTAGCACTTTAGGAGTAGCTACGAACATTACATAAAAATCAACTTGAAGTTTTTTACATAAAACCTTATAATTGTGAATACATTAATCTCGATGTAGTTTATTTTCTTCTATGAAAAACTATGATACAAAAATAATTGATTTTAGCAATTATATTCATTAGAGATTCAACATCTATACATAAGATTAAACAAGTATCCCCGTATTTTTTCCGCTTTCAAACCAAACGACTTTTAATTTACGACTTTAATAATTTAAATAATCTTTACTAAAATGCATATTT